GCCTCCAGGGAGGCCCAATTTCCCTTTTTTTTAAATCAATCTTTGGACTTGGATTTTGGTATATCCTTTCAGAACTATTTCAAATAGGCTCTAATCAAAACTAGAGTTACTTTTTTATTTGTGTACAGTCATGAAATCAGAAGTAAACATTGATGCTGGCATAAATTAAATCACTGAAAATTTTCCTGTGTATTTTATTCATAATATTAATCCGTTTTATTCACATATTCACAATGTCAAGAAAAGTAAAATAATAATGGATGTTTATAACTATGCTGTTACAACTGCTGCCAGGAATGTAGTGGCTCAGTGTTTATCTAGTTAAGTTCACTTTCCAAAAAAAGGCATATGAAGTAAAGAGGAATCAGCCATCTTAAAAAAAGATAAGATCATATGCTTAGATTGTTTTTTAATGATTTATTTATTTATGCATACAAGAACTGGGTGTAAACCAGAGGTGCAGGGAATGGGTGTGTGAGAGGATTCACCAGAGACAGAATGGGGAACAGAACAGGCAGATTGACTGAAATACACTGCTGAGGGGAGCAGCAGGCGAGTCAGGAGAGGTCAGCTGGGCCATGTGGGTTACTTCCATGGCCGGGGACCGAACTTATGCTGCAGAGGCTGCCGATAGCTTCATAGTGCTATGTCTTAACCCCTTGCGCCACGAGAGAGGCCCCGCCTCAATGAACAAATTTTTGGTCTTATTCTAGTTTATCATGTAGATGTAAGTAAAGCAATGTTTCTTGGTTAACTCAGTAAAATTCATCAAAATATATATTTATAAATGCTAAAAAAATAATAGAATAAAAGGTTTCTGGATTCGGAGACACCAAACACAGCAGAAGGCAAGAAGGATTAAAGAGAAATGTCCTAAAAAACATTAAATGCCCCTCCTAGTCTTTCTTGCTACTATAATATTGGCAGCTTTGCTTACATTTTACTCTCTACATGGGTATAATGTGGGGAACGTGATGAACCCAAGAGAAAAAAAAAAAAACAAAAAAACACAAAGATACTGACTTTAGGCCTTACCTAAATCAAACAACCTCACCAAATAACCCTTGGGGAGGCTCAGAGTTGGCAAGCTTCACACATACACAGAGTGTCCAATAAATTTATTTAGAGACCTACCCTTGAAGGGTGATCAGCAACTAAAGATCATAAGACATCTGATGCAACCTTTCTTTTTTTTTAAAGATTGGATTTATTTATAAATGCAAGAGCTGGGGTACAGGCCAGTGGTGTAGGGGGTGAGAGGATTCACCAGAGACAGAGCGGGGAACAGAACAGGCAGATTGACTGAAATACACTGCTGAGGGGAGCAGCGGGCAAGACAGGAGAGGTCTGCTGCACCATGTGGGTTACTCCCTGGCTGGTCAGGAATCAAACTCATGCTGCAGAGGCTGCGGATTGCTTCATAGTGAGGTGCTTAACCCCTTGTGCCACCAGGGAGGCCCTGATGAGACCTTCTGACTACGTACAGCTAAACAGAGGAAAGCAACTTGCATGAAATGGAGATCAACAGGGAGATGTATCATTAACTATATCCTTAAAGAAATGAGATAGTGTTGTAGTGATGAACAAATTAGGGAAATTAGGGCCTCCCTGGTGGTGCAAGGGGTTAAGACACAACCTATGAAGCTATCAAACTATGAAGCAACCTATGAAGCAGCATGAGTTCGATCCCCAGCCAGCCAGGGAGCAGCCCACATGGCGCAGCAGACCTCTCCTCTCTCCCACTGTTCCCCTCAGCAGTGTATTTCAGTCAGTCTGCCTGTTCTGTTCCCCACTCTGTCTCTGGTAAATCCTCTCACCCCCCACACACCTCTGGCCTGTATCCCAGCTCTTGTATGCATAAATAAATAAATCTTAAAAAAAAAAAAAAAGACAGAAAATTACTTTAAAAAATCAGAAGACAATAAATACTTCTTGGAAGGAAAAACATGATAGGAAAAAAATTAAAAAACTCAATGGAAGTGTTGATAATGTTGAAATATTTCAGAAACTGGAGCAAATATGGAAAGAAATGGGAGAGGAAAAAAAATAGAATATCAATCCAGCATGTCCTCTAGCCATATAATAGGATTTCCAAAAAGATCAGAAAAATATTGGGGGAGAAATGACCATCAGAGAAATAATTAAAATCTCCCAGAACTTAAAAGCTATGCATTTCAGATTAAAAGGGGCCAACAAGTGGCCTGTGGAAATTTAGAACACTAGGAACATAGTTGATTGTAAAAACTGCCAGAGTGGGAAAATAGACATGTACAAATTATGTGAATTAGAATGGCATCAGACTTTTAAAGTAAAACAGAAAATTAGAAGATAATGGAACAATGTCTTTAATTCTGAGAAAAAATTTCAACCTTGAATTCTGTACTCAGCCAAGCTACCAACAGTGTGAGAGAATAACATTTTATAGCACCAAAGCTTCAATAAATAAATGTCCTATGCAGACTTTCTCAGGAAGCTACTGGAGGAAGAGCATCACATGCAAATGAAAGAATAAATCTGTAAAGAGGACTTGGGATAAAGGAAGCTCAGTAAGGGCCAAAGGAGATCCCTAAGATGAGATGAGAGGAGATTCTTGGAGTACAGTTGTATAACAGGGAGAGATTGGAGCATATCACAAGGCTATTAAAAGAGCTGCCTCGGGCCTCCCCGGTGGCGCAGCGGTTGGGCGCTGGGTTGCGAGGTTGCCCGCAGCCTCTGCAGCGCCGGTTAGATATCCGGCTGCTCCCGGGCCACCGGAGGAGGATCCCACATGGCACGCAGACCTCTCCTGCCGCCCGCTGCTCCCCTCAGCAGTGTACTTCAGTCCATCTGCCTGCTCTGCTCCCCGCTCTGGCTCTGGTGAATTCTCTCACCCTCCCGTGCTTCTGACTGTACCCAGTGCTTGTATAAATAAATAAATAAATCTTTAAAAAAAAAATAAAATAAAAGAGCTGCCTCTAGGAAGATAGAATAGATGTAACATGTTTGAAAGCCTGGAGAGGGAAACTAAGATAATTGCGAGAGGGTTGGGGATGACTTACTGATAGCAAACTAAATAAAATAGTTGTTGTTGGGGCTTCCCTGGTGACCTAGGGGTTATGTCTCATTGCTATCACGTTATGGCCTGAGTTCCATCCCTGGACAGGGAGATAACTCACATATAGTGCAGCATATAGTGTCTTGTCCACTGCACCCCTTAGCAGTATATTTCAGTGATTATGCCTGTTCTGCTCCTCACTCTGTCTCTAGTGAATGCTCTCACCCCCAGCACCTCTGGCCTAAACACCTGTTACTCTACCAAAAATTAAAAAGTTGTTGTCATCATAGTAGTTCTAAGGAAAACATACATTTATGAGAAATGAAAAGTAACCATAGTAAACTACATGGCTTAGATGTAAATAGCATTTCTAAGTACTAATAAGTTAACACTGAATTTTATTGTATCTATTGGGAAGTTGGGTATCAATATGGGAAAAGTGTGGGAAATGGGATGAAAGTGTCAAATCTATAACCTTTTCCAATGTGAGAAGTCAACAGAAAATACAAAAAACTTAAGAAGTACCCTGTTACTTGGAGATTAGGAGGTAAATACCAAAATAAACTGCTAAAAAATAAATAGTAGCTGTCTCTGGGACTTAGGACTAGGATGGGAGAACTATTACTTTTCATAATCTTGCAGAACTGTTTACCTCTTTAATCTGTACACATCTTTTACTTTGATTAAAAGGAAAATTCAGTAAAATGAAATTTAGGAAATGATGTGTAGCAAGACCTGGGGTCATAGGGAAGTGTGCTGGAGGTGAAGCTAGAAAGAGGGGCAAGAGCTGTATTATGATGGGCTTTAGAATGCCAGTTGCTAAAATGTTTAGATTTTTTTTTCAATAAGAATGTAAACCAGGGCCTCCTCAGTGGCGCAGTGGTTGAGCGCTGGGTTGCGAAGCTGCCCGCAGCCTCCGCAGCACCGGTTCAATCCCCGGCTGCTCCCCGGCCACCAGAGGAGGGTCCCACATGGCGCGCAGACCTCTCCTGCCGCCCGCTGCTCCCCTCAGCAGTGTCCTTTGGTCCTTCTGCCTGCTCTGCTCCCCACTCTGGCTCTGGTGAATTCTCTCACCCTCCCGCGCTTCTGACTGTACCCAGTGCATGTATAAACAAACAAACAAACAAATAAATAAATAAAACATGCCTCTTTAAAAAAAAAAAAAAAAGAATGCAAACCATAAAAGCTGTTGAGCATGGGAGGGACAGGTTCAGACTTGTGCCTGGAGAAGATAAATCAGTGCATCTGGGCTAAAGGGACCCTAGAGATTACCCAAGTGAGTCACACTTACTCCCAGTACAGACAGGGAGACTGGTGTGTGGTGGGTTTAATCCTGAATCCCCAGTCAGTGTGATTATGACCTTTCTAAATTTTAACCAATCCTCTTCTCCCTTAGCAATTGATACCAACACTCTGAAGGGATTTAGTGAGCAGGTTAGCTCTCTCTTTATTCCCCAGCTCCTGCCTTCTTTTGTTCCATCTACTTCCCAATTAACACCTGGCCCCCATCAGGTTCTCTTTGTCTGTTTCCAAGTCTCACTAGTAAAATCTGGACTTGTTCAATAGTTAATACCCTATCAATGAAGTTCAAAGCTCAGTAGGGTCAGATTTTAATATTTAATGTTTACTGAGACTTTACTCTGTGCCAGCCCCTGTGCTTAATATTTAATAGACAGCATCTCAGAATTTTCTTAGCCACCTGGAAAGTGAGTCATTTAGCCCTATTTTAGGATCTAGGAAAATGAAGCTCAAAGAATCTAAGAAAGTTGCCCACAGTCACATAGCTTATCAGTAATAGAGTTGAGATTTTAAAGTTTGTTTCTAAAGCCCATACTCCAAACCACTCTATTTCCATGTTTCCTGAAAGTAAAGCACGGTGGTTTGACCACAAGGCAGGGGCCTCTGGAAACACTAGAGAAACCCATGGCCTAGAACCAGGGACTGATTCCTTTTCCCACTCCCTCAGGCTTACCTGCGAGCCATCGATGTGAAGATCCTGCAGCAGCTGGTGACCTTGAATGAGGGCATCGAGGCAGTGCGCTGGCTATTGGAAGAGCGGGGGACATTGACCAGCCACTGCAGCAGCCTCACCAGCAGCCAATATAGCCTGACAGGCGGGAGCCCAGGCCGCTCAAGGCGAGGCAGCTGGGATAGCCTGCCAGACACTAGCTCCACTGACCGGCTGGACAGTGTCTCCATCGGCAGCTTCCTGGACACAGTGACCCCCAGCGAGCTGGATGAACAGGGCCCTCCCGGGGCTCCCCGTCCTGACATGGACTGGGCAAAGGTTATTCCTGGTGGGGAGAGGGCCAGGACTGAAGTGGACCTGACAGCCACCATGCTAGGGAACTTGAGGGCTTCATGGAAGCTCCCAGGGGAGGGGTTCCTAGGTCCACCTCTTGAGCCAGCAGAGGATGAGAGTGCCAAGCTGGACTTTGAGGCCCACTGGTACTGGGGGCAGTGTCAGGATGATGTTACCTTCCTGTAACAACTTTTCCACCCTTTTTATACTCCTGTGGTTCTTTCATCACTAGGCCCTGATCTCCCTTGAAATTTATCCTCCCTCAATCTGGGAGTAGGAAGAGACTGCATTGAAATTAGTTACCATGGAAACCTGACTTCATCATCCTTCTGGTGCCTGGAGAGGCTCTGCCTTTATCCCTCAAGACACTTTATCCCTAGAGCTATTTCTATAGATCTGTTGACTCTAGAGGTTTGACTCAAGGTTCCTGGTGTGATGGTATCTCATGTCCTATTCCTCTCCTTCCCCAACTAGATAAGGATTTGGGGCCCCTGGGAGGTCTCTGATGAAGAGATGGAGGTGTAATGACATCATCTTATCCAACATCTAGGAGCCTTAACCCCCTTCGTGGTCAAAATGGAGGATTGTGGAAGGTCATGGACCAATCCTCCTTGGATTGGCCTTCCCAGAAACCTTAGGGTTGGTAGAACTGTTATAGGGCAGCCCCGAGGTGGTGGTGGGATTTGGAGTTGCCAGTGTCTTTGGCTTTGGCCTGGGGTGGGGGTGGAGTCCACAAAGCCTGTATGGAATTAGCTTTAGGACATCCTTTTCCCCCCTAACAGAACTACCCCTTCCCATCTGGTGCATGATGTCATTTCCTGCCAGGATGGCTTAACCTTTCCTCTCTATCAGCCCTTTACTAAAGGGTGCCTGAACTCCTGCTGCTAATTCAGACCATACCATTCTCCACACCATTACTTTTTAGGTGTGGGGACATATCACCCCTCCTGGCAGGAAAAGTGTCTCATGTCAGATGTTTGCACGTCTTTTCAAAAGGTTCTTTTTTTTTTTTAAACTGGGTGTTTTTCATTTTATCCTAGGGGGTCTCCCTCTATGGCTGCATCTGTGTCTGGTTCCAGCAGTCCTATATCTGTACTTTTATGGATGGAAATTGGCAGGGCCCTCTATCTGCTGCTCCCACATGTCTGTTTGGCCTACCCTGTCACCCTCCCTGGCTTTCCCTATCCCTATTCTTGTATTCTGACTCCAAATCTGTCTGCCTGGAGGTTCAACTTTTGTGTCTCCATACCTTCTCAGTTTAACTTAGGGCCTCAGGCCTTTTAATATGCAGATGATCCCCCAGTCTTCCCTCCCCGCTGCTGTTGGGAGCCAGAGGGAGAAGTGTGAGGTTTCTGAGCTCTGGGGGTATAAGCTTGAATCTCAGAAGTAAGGAAGTTGGGGGAAGCATCTTTTCAGACCCTGTGCTTCCCCTTCCCCCACCCTGCCCCAAACTTTCCACCATTTGGTCAAGAGGCTAGAATACAAGGAATCGTCTTGTCTGAGTTATAATGTGTGTATGTGGGTGTGGGTGTGTGTGTGGCAGGGACAGAAGCTCTTTGGTAAGAGGGACCCTGTCCCACGAAGGGGGAGAGGTCTGAGGGAAAGGCCCCTTTCCCTGTTCCCTTAGAGTAAGCCCTAGACTTCTGAGACCTGAGGAGGGAGCAAGGGACTGACTCCGGGCTTGGGTGCCAGGACCCTAGTGAATTACACCAAAGTAGGAATTCAGAGAAGTTGCCAACCTGGTGCTCTGGAAGAGGAGAGGGGTGGGAGGGGACAAGGGTTATAGCCACTGTGTCAGAGAATGAATTCTTGGAGATTAACCCTTTGAACTCCAGTTACTGCCCACGTGTTAGTCCCTGTCTTTCCGGGGTCCTTAAACTAGATTATTGGAAGGCAAAAGGGAGAGAAAAGAAAATCAGGCCCCCCCTGAATTGGGGGGAAAAGGGACCTTCTCTAAATCCTAGACTAATTCCTGTTGTTTCTCTGCTTTTCATTCTGTGCTGGGGAAGGAAGTATTCTGCAACTTTCACCTAAATCCTTTTGGGGCAATATATTGAATTTTGAATTTTAAGGTCCACTCTCCTCCTATCTCTTCAAAGTGACTGAAATCTCTGTAAAGTATATTCTTACCCTCTCCTCTGCTGCCCACCAGGTCTCTTACCACCCCTCCTGGTGTAGGGGTTCCAGCCTTCCGGTTAGGCTGGGAATTTGAATACCCTTTTCTAATCCCTACTCAGTTGCCAGTTTGTAGGGTGTCCTTGGGTAATCTACCTTTCCTTGGCACCTTGTGTTCCTTTTTGAAGTTGATTTGTTTAGTTTATCAACTTCTGAATTGAGGTTGCCTGCCCTCTTGTGGCCAATATGCACCATTGCCAGGGGTAGCTGGGTGAAACCTACAAACTCAAATACAGCCTTACAAAAGGCCAACTCCTCAGTGCACAGCCTGGCTAGAGAGACCAGCCTAGAGAGAGCAGAGACTTGCCTGCTTTCACTCATTTTAAGTCCACGTCAGTCCAGGTTAGAGAACCCAGATCCCCTGTTTGCCTGCCTGCCCATAGTTTCATCACTTGGTAAACTCTTCCCACACACTGTCCACTCAACACCATCCAAACCCAAAAGGGACTAAAAGCAGTTTCCTCCTGTTTTATTATTCAGGTTTTCACCCCACCCTAGAGAGGAAGGAGGAAGTTCAGTGTTTCGAAAAAAAACCTTGGATCTGGATTGGGTAAAGGGTGCACTAATCCCAACCACAGATATAAGGAACATTAATCCTGGACCAACTATTTTTCTGGAAAGGGAGGGTAAATAGGCCCAGACATTATGGGGGTAGTAGTCAGCATTTCAGACCTGGAGGTTGAGTTGGGTGGGGGGTGGAATGCTTTGAGATTGGGAAATCCAGATGGCTCCAGTGGAATGGGGAGCTCCACAGGACAGGGATTGTAGTTAATTGGATAGGCATAGGAGTATGTTGAGGGACAGGAGAAGTGGGGTAAGTGGGGCTCTGGGTACTCCAGGTAGATCTAGGCATCCTGCCTTAATACCTTGGACTCCATTTTTACTACCAGAAAAGCCCAGAAAAGTACAAATCCTTTGTCCCTCCAGTTCGACCTTTCTGGGTTATAGGGAGGGACTTTTGGGGAACTCAAGGAAAGAAAAGGGAGAGAGATGCAAAGAGATGAGAAATGAAGAGACAGAAGGGTCATACTCTCCTCCAAGTGGGTAGGGTGCTTTAATCAGGCACAGTAAAGGGAGAGGGAGACTACTCATGATAACTGCAGAAACTGCCTATGAGAAAAAGGGGCAGTGCTGGTCAGGATGGATCACTGTCTGAGCACTGGATTGACTGAGTCAGAGCACTGGATTGACTTGAAATTCAGTGGCAGTTTAAGTAAGAAAAGCTCAGGGTGTGTTGACGACATATGCTCGCTGTGTGCACAGTGTCAGCCACATATCTCCATTTTCAGTGATAGTTGTTGAATGAATGTATGTAAGCCCACAAGTAGATGTGATTTAATAAAAAATAATTGGGTGATTAAATCATAATATGTAATTTAAAACATTCTAATTCTTAGCAGCCCTATATAAACCATGCATTACTAATGATGTTTAAATATTTGCTCAAGGTCAGATAGATAATAATGATATAATACGAACCTAGGTCAGTCCAACTGCAGAACCTTCCAGGAAGCAGGTCTATCAACGCCTCGGTTTTCTTAGAACACGTTAGTGCTATCTAGCAGCAGGGTGAGTACACTAGTATCCTATGGCCACTGTAAATAATTTCCACAATGTAATGGCTTAGCAGATTCATCTTACCATTCTGGAGATCACAAATCTGAAATCAGTTTCACTGGGCTAAGTAAAATCAAGGTGTTGAGAGACCTGCTTTCCCTCTGGAGATTCTAGGGGAGATTCCATTTCCTACTGCTTGCATTTTTGTAGCTTCAGCAGTCTAACATTTACTGCTTGCATTCCTTGACTCATGGCTTCTTCCTCCATTTTCAGAGCGCAGCAGAGTCTAGCAGTGTACTTCGGTCCTTCTGCCTGCTCTGCTGCTCTGCTCTGCTCTCTCAGCGCTTCTCTCTGCAATCTTCTCTCTGCAATTCTCTTGTTTCCACATGATTATGGGTGACTGCATATCCTTGTGATTGTACTGGGCCCATAGGATAATCCAGGATCATCATTCCAAATCAAGATCCTTAATTTAACCATAGTTTGAAAATCCCTTTTACCATATAAGGTAAAATATACACAGGCTCTGGAGATTAGGTGGTAGACATCAGGATGGGGGTTGTGATTATTCTGCCTATCATGGGCAGAGAGAGAGGGCGGGCAGTTTAGGAAACTTTTCACATCTGAAGCTTCCTGGTGAACACGGTGGAGGATTCCAGCAGGCTTAGTCACTACCAGAGAAGTCAAGGAAAACACAAATCCTTGGTCCTTCCAGCCCCTCCTACCTGCTTCTGGATTGGCCGCTTGGGGCTTAGCTTTCTTTCCAGAACCATTCTGTGCTCCTTAAGGCAGAAGATAATTCCCAGCACACTAGCCTGTGCTCTCACTGAAAAGGGGTAGGTTAATTTGTCCTTTTAAATTATTATTTCTAATTCTTTAATAGTTAAATTGTGCTCTTTAGTGCATGGTGAACTCTCATCGTTAATTAATACTAGGCCTCTTTCTTATTTCATGTTCTCTTTGATCACTGACCGCTGTTCTCATTCTTCTCCCTGACTTCAGCATAACGTGTTTAGTATGTGTTTGGATATGTATCTTTAAAAAAAAAATCAGTATATATATACACACACACCCATATTATGTGTTTTAACATATATAAATGGTATACTTTTACAATATGCTAACTTTTGTAATGAATTACTCCATGTTTCAGTAATTTAGCCTGATAAAAATTTATTTTTCACTTACATAGGAGTACAGGTGTTCCTGGCTGACAGCTCTCCTCCATTGCCCACTTCAGGTCCCAGACACCTTCCATTTCCAGGTGATGATAGCTTGATCCTGCATCATAGAGTTCCCCATCAGCTTTTCACCAAATTGTCTTAGTGTATCCACTATTGACCATTTTATAAATTGATTGTTTTACTAGCAATTACAAAATGATGATTTTCTTTTTTTTTTTTTTAAGATTTATTTATTTATGCATACAAGGGCTGGGGTACAGGGCAGAGATGCGGGGAGGGTGAGAGGATCCACAGCGACAGAGCGGGCATCAGAACAGGCAGACTGACTGAAATACACTGCTGAGGGGAGCAGCAGGCGAGACAGGAGAGGTCTGCTGCAC